TAATCATTAAGCATATTCGCCCAGTACTGGCTACTACTGTCGTACCAATATCGAGCCTCGTTTGCCGATATTGATCCAATACTGGGCCGTTTGTCAATTCCTACAAGAGTAACAATTTCAAACCTTCGCACCTTCTATTTTTATTGTTATCTTTACTCTCTTATTATTACGTCCGCTCTTGTCTGGTCTTGTGTTGTTTAAACACGCCGCCATCTCCACTTTCCTCAATTTCATTTTTGTCCGATATAAAAGATCGTGTTCGATGTCACGCGCGCGCGAAGGGCGGAGGAGGAGTCGGAGGTTGAAACAGTCACATTTCACGCCAGATGCGCGACGGGCATTCGGTTACTGCAAAGCTACTTTGCCGCTTCTCTCTCTCTCCCGAGAGACGCCTGACGTCCCGCGCGCGTAGCGGGCGGACACGCGATCGATCAGAATTAAAATTCGCATTCGGGAAAAGCAAGAGCGCGCGCGCTCTCTTTTCTACACGTCGACGAGAGGCCGAGAGTCCGACACTAATGGCACTCGCCTTCCGAGTAATTGGCGTTCTCTCTAATGTCCTTTCGAGGTCGCTTATGTAACGCGCCGACCCCATTTCTATCGTTCCAGAGATGTAAGGAATGATCACGTGGATGATGGTTGGGCTGCTTCTGGCTGCGGAAACTTGCGGCAGAAACGTCATCTCCGGAAACGGAAACGGAAACGGAAAGGAGGAGGAGGAGAAGCAACGGGAAGGTTTGAAGGGCGTCAGCACGGACGAGGAAGACATCTATCGTGAGTATCGGGCGCTGGACCGTCGAAAAATGAACGGAAAGCGTTTGGCGAAGTATTGATAGAAAAGAGAGAGAGAGAGAGAGAGAGAGAAAAAGCTTGCGCGATTGGAAGAACACGAGAGACAAATATATATATATATATATATACATATATATATACATATATATATATATATATATATAAAGAGAAGAGAGAAAAGAGAATCGAGCGTGATTTACTCGGTTAACTCGAGTTTATCCCAGCTCGCCGATTCTGCAATCGAACGCCACTAATCTCCGACCTGCCGCTTATCCTTTCTGCCAACTTCGCGCGTGTACCGCAAGCCTTTCCCCGTCAATGACACTCTCTCTCATACTTTGTTTCCTCGTGTACACACAACGCGCGTGTCCTCTCTCTCTCTCTCTCTGTCTCTCTTTCTCTCTCACGAGAGTTATTCCCCTATCGTAGCGAGACAAAATCACCCCCGTAACTTTGTGCATTAACGAATTTAAGTTCTGCATAAGACACATCGTTCCGGAATAACGTTCCGGCAAAGTCCCGGAAAGTCCTCCCTCCTCCTCGGCTTGTTTAAACTTAGTAGCCCGGCTTGTTAACTTTCGGACGCGTCTAGACGCGGCTAAACGCATTTAATCCTTGAATGTATATATGCTCTTCTCTCCTTTAATTTTCTTTCTCCTTCAAATAGAATTTCCGTATCTCCGCGGCACCGGCGGTGCAATTAAGAGTTAACGCGCTCTCAACGCGCGTTCTCACCTCCTCCTCCCCCCGTGTACCCTCGCGTGTCTCGTCCCGATTGTCTCATCGACGTACTTAATCTCAGCCCAGGTGTGCTGGTCTCTCTCTCTCTGTTACAGGTCTAACGTGCTACACTTGCGTCAACGTCAGCGATAACCAGGTATCGACAACTCCATTAAACGCTCCCTTAAGATTTTCCCTCCCCCGGTAATGGCTCTATCGCGCCGCAAGTCCGGCCGCAATTTCGTAGAAACTCCCTTTCAGATCGTTTTCGCTATCGATTTCGGTTTATTCTAAACTCCGTTTATTGCGTTCCGTTTCTTTCCGCCGGTGAGAGGTCTTATCTTCAACTCCCGTTGGCGCGCGTTTGCGGGTTATTTTTCGTTTCGCGGAAGCGCGCGGAAGCACACTTTGCCTCACCGGTCATTAATTCACTCTGAGCGGAATATATATGACGGAATTTTCGGAGGTTTCGCGCAAAACAACGCGCGGCTACAGTAGGTAGTAGTACAGACAAGCCCGGTTTTTCTTCGCGCGCCAAGTCATTTGTTTTAATCAGAAAAAGTTGATTGATTTTTATCACACAACGTAAGAGTTGCGAAAAGACTTTTTTTTCTCACGTTCGCGCGATTACGTTTTTTTGTTTCTTCTTCTTTTTTTTTGTTTTTAAATATTGACGTCGCACACCGAGAAATGAAACTTTTGGTATTTTCTGTTTTTCCTCGGCTTTCTCGCGTATCTCGAAAAACACACACGGTTCGATATTGGCAATATAAGAAACCCTGGAGGTTTTTCCACTACTGAGGAGGAGACTTTCGAGGATATTCCTATTTGTATGCTTGCAGATGTGCAACGAATGGGCGATAGATACACCGTGTCCGGCGGGTGGCCGTGATTTCTGTCGATCGCTGCACATTCTGGACAGCCGGGGAAACAGCGTCTTGGCAAGTATAACTTTTTTTTCTTCTTCTTCTTCTTCTGTTTCGCCCACAGCGATCTTATCGCGCACGAACTCGCCCTCGTAATATTTCCGTCCCTCTCCGATTTTCATAAATTTTAAATATATTGTCGAGAAACTTCGAGTATAAGAGAGATACTTATGTTTTTATATGTATTTTATCGCAAACCAGGGAATAGCAACCCACTCGACCGCAGCGGTAACACAGTACAACGGTATTTCATCCCGTAAAATCGAGTATCCTCGGAAAGATATAAAATATACATAAAAATTGTTACAAAAAAATAATTAAATTATATTAACAGTTTATATTTTTTTTTATAATCGATACGGCGCGCTTGTTCCGTTTGTTCTTTCTTTTTCTGTGATCAAGAACGAGGTTTTATTGTTGAAAAATTTACACGTGCAAAATTTTCGTTTCTAATATGCAACGAAGATTTTCTTTCAAACATTTCTCGTGTACATTTTGATATCCGATACTCGACGAATCGAAGAGTAGTGTCAGTTACGAACGTTGCTTTGTCAGGGACAACCGCGCGCTCTCGAAACAAAACAGTACGGAATGAAAATAACGGGAGGAACAAAAAAATAACACACACACACACGAGCCAACAATAACAAACCATAGACTCGCGGGAATGAAGTAAATTTTATTATTGTTCGAGCGCGCGATGCACGCACGATCGAATAAAATCATTTAAGGGTTATCGTTACTGGACTAATTGACTTACATTAGCGGGATAATCGATTTTCGGGCTATTAATGAACGAAGTTACGCGAACGGATTTGAGTTCGGACGCCGAGATGGATGGCCCTCTTGAGCTTAAGCGCTTCCAGAGTCCAGTCGATGTACGAACGAACGAACTTTGACGGAACTTTCTGTGTTCCCACATTTGACGACGATAATGCGCGATAATTTGATCGCGCATTACCTCCGTGACAGAACTTAACCCCCTAATTAAGTAAGTTCCGACCTTTTAATTAAAATTAACGTCTTTTCTCGCGCAAAACGTCGATGAAGAAGACACTGCTTGACACACTGTCTTTCGTCGCGTTATCTACGGAAACTTGTCGACCGTTTAGGTCGTCTCGCGATGACGAGTCGCTGCTTAATTCTTGGAGGAAAGTTCAAAACTTCCGACGAGAGAATCTCTTGTCACCGAGTCCATTCACGAAGCTATTCGCTTCATTTCCGTTTCAGGTAAGCAAGAGTTGCGCCAGCAACGAGGAATGCGGACCAGCGTCAGTCGGCTGCATTCCCATGGATACGCAGCAGGTGCGAAATAGCGAATTTTCTCGTGCCCGTGCAAAGGTTTCTCGAAATACATAAACTTAAACAGCAGAAAAGATTTGGAGAAAAATAAAAAAAAAATAAAAAAATAGCAAAACGGAAAGAGAGAAAGACCGACGTACAAGCCGGGTGAAATAAATTCGGTTATTTCGTTTCAGGTTTGCATAAGCTGCTGCGATCTGAGCTACTGCAATATCGAGTCGCCCACCAACGCCACGAATGCCGTCTATTCGCGTAAACGGCGCGCCAAGTCAAAATCGAAGCGCAAACGGCTCGGCAGAAACGGGGTCGAGGCGACGACGCGGCTTTACGGGTCCAGTTTGCTCTGGCTTCCCGCCTCGCTGTTCTATGCATATCATTGCTGAGGAAGCAGCAACAACACTATATAAATGACCGCGTACGCGAAGCGGACAGCGCGGAAAACCGCGCACGCGGAGAGATTCGCGGCTCGCGCGCGCCATTTCTCTCGATCGAATGAAATTCTTTTTCTGTGATTTCTTCCTTGGCTTCACACTCTCGCCTGAAAATGTAAAAAAACCTGAAGACCTGAACGTCTAATTCCGACCAAACTTCCCGACGAATTTCCTCGCCGCAGGAGGATTATACGTGATCCGAACTTTTTCACGTGCTCGCCGAACTGATCTCGATGGCGATTATCGTCCAATAGTTTGGAGAGAAAAGGCTACTATACTTGTCTATATTTTTCGTACTCTCGTTTAAACACTTTCGCTACCGTTTAACTTTTAACAAAAAAAAA